TTTTGTGTCAGTCCCACTCTCTTCTCAAATGAGCAATGGTGAGAGGAAAAAATCGTTCAGGCCTTCAGTAATGACACCAACATACATACTCAGGTTTCCATCTTCAAAGTCCATTTAAGAAGCATCAAGAGAACTGTGAATAAGTTTTAAAAAGAGGGAACAGTACAGAGCGAAACTTGATCAGGAGGTCACAACAAGGATCATCATTTCCACTTAGAGCTAAAGAGATCAATTAGAATCGATCCAACTCAATCCGTAAGACATTTGGCACGTGAGAAAGGAATTTCGACTGCGAAAGCCCAAAGAGTATTGAAAAAAAAAAGACATGAAAATGAAAACTTACGTGAAACCTGTGAGGCACATTTTTACTCCAGGACAGAAACTTAGAAGTTTAGATAGGGCGAAGATAATCTTGAACAAATTGGAAAATGATCTCTCTCTCTCTCTCTCTCTCTCTCTCTCTATATATATATATATATATATATATATATATATATATATATATATATATATATGAACATTATTTCAATGCTTCGTGGGCTTCCGATCCTTAGCTATGATTAATTAAATATGAACATGTAATTTTCGTTTATGATCGATTTCATCACGATTCTTCCGTTAAGGTTGTTGAGAAATTATACATTCTTAGTGCTCAAAGTAGAGTCCAAAAGTGTTAGAAAAGCATTGGAGAATTCCAGTACAATATTTTTAATCATTTCTAAGATACATTGTTTCAAAAGTTAATCTAACAAATAGACAATTTTGCTTTTACAAGAATTGGAAAATTTTGCTGTTACACCCGGTATATATATATATACAACAAAACCGTTAAAACGAACACAGGCAAGATATTCCTAAACTTAATAGAAAAAAACTACTTTGCCTACACGAAAAAGTATCAATAATAACACACAAACCGCAAAAGAATTTACTAAATTTACTCCAAATGTAGGCATAAAAATAACCAATAAGGATTACAAACTGAAATTTCTACCAGTCACATATACAGTCATCAAAAAACTAAAAAAAACAATGAAATAACCAGCTATAAAATAATAACAAAAGTGTTTATTTTGTAAATTAAAAATTAAAAATAAAAATTATAGCAATTTTCAACTATCATAATTTTACACAGAAGACCTATTATCAGGATCTATACCAAAATAAATTAATACATATAACAAAATAAAATAAAACACCAACAACCACTTTTTAGTTCAAGCTACCACCACTATAACTACATTTATGGTTTTATCATTCTACCACCACCATTACTAATCACTTCTACCAATTTACAATAACTATTAGCTACTTATATTATCATTGTCTCCAATCCCTTACAACATTACTATCACATCACATCTACTATCATATAGACCCTCTATAATTATTAACATAAATTACCCTCTCGCCCAGCATATTAAATATTAAATATCACCATATAAAATAACCAATAAGGATTACAAACCGAATTTCTACCTGTTACATGTACACAGTCATCAAAAACAAACAAATAACCAGCTTTAAATATAACAAATAAACACCCTTTTTTTTCAAAAATTTTAAAATAAATATAAATAATAATAATTTTTACCTATCATAATTATACACAAACCCCACCACACGTATATACATACATGCGAGGAAATATTATTCAGTGGAAAGATAGAAAAATGACATGTATACATTCACGAGAAATTTTCGCTACACTTCCAATCTTTGAATTTCATCATACAAATGCGTATGTATAGACACAACATCACCCGTATACATACATATGTCATATCAGAAACTGTCCACATATGTTTATATATGTATGAGTCCCGACGGATGACCAAGTGTGTATGTGTGTCTGCGTACTTCATTGGGCGTATGAACATACATCGATGTTTGCGTTAACACGATGACATCACGACGACGTTCCCCCCCTTCCATAATAACACCAATACACGCAATCTACATAAACCCAAAATTTAAAAAAAAATTAATCAGTTTGTCTGACGATCGCAAAAGCGTGAAACCCAGGGACACAAACTAGCATCTATCCAACCAAATATATATATATATATATATATATATATATATATATATATATATATATATGTAATTCTCTCGGATTCTCATCTAAGTTTTATTTACAAAACTGAATCTTCAGATCTGCAAAAATATACAAAATCTCCATGAGAAAAATATACAGAACACACTAGTGTATATAAATGAATAAATATACATTGAGGGTGTGCAATTATTAATGTCTACAGTAGTCAATAACTTTTCCCTGGGGTCGTTAGTCGGGGTATGCTTGTGAATCCCATTTTAAACTCGACATTGTGTCCTTTTCCATTTGAGTGGGCGCATTGATAAATTCAATGATGAAACACGTTTTTACGGGTTTACAATCAAACTCAATCCCAAAGCGCCAGCCTAACAGAGACCACCTTTCCAACGGGGTGGGGGTAGCTAGAGTTACACCTTGGTTTCGACACAGTCTGTATAGGTTGGGGAATGTTAATGAACTGGACTATTTTCGGGCTCTGGTTTTATGTACTCGTAGGGCACCCACTTATATTTCTAACTGATTAATCCAGATAAAGCCATATTTATTTGATGCCACCACATCTTTTATGTACCGCGTCTCTTCAGGACATAAACGATCATATCACTCCACAACTTCCTATCCCTTGTTGGGATTTGGTAGTACTTCTCCCTTTGCTAAGACTTCCGGTCCTCGTTCAACCATCCATTCACACGGAACGGTTCAAATGAAAATTCATGTTTCCAATCCAATGTTAAATCTCCTGCTGATATCCTATCATAACACACCAAATCAGTGAGACACACGATAATAAATTCATCACCAGAGCGGTTCCCGCTGCCCCCTTCTTCTTCCCCCTCCTCCTCCTGATCCACCTTCCTCCTCCTCCTCCTACTACTACTTCTTCTTCTTGCTCCTGTTCCTCCTTCTTGCTCTTTTTCTTCTTCTTCTTGCTCCTGTCCCTTCTTCTTCTTGCTCCTCCTCCTCCTTCTTCTTCTTCTTCTTCCTGATCCTCCTTCTTCCTCCTCCTCCTCCTCCTAGTTATTATTCTTGCTCCTGCTGCTCCTCCTCCTCCTTCTTCTTCTTCCTGATCCTCCTTCTTCCTCCTCCTCCTAGTTATTATTCTTGCTCCTGCTGCTCCTCATCCTCCTTCTTCTTCCTGATCCTCCTCCTTCCTCCTCCTCCTCCTCCTAGTTATTATTCTTGCTCCTGCTGCTCCTCCTCCTCCTTCTTCTTCCTGATCCTCCTTCTTCCTGATCCTCCTTCTTCCTGATCCTCCTTCTTCCTCCTCCTCCTAGTTATTATTCTTGCTCCTGCTGCTCCTCCTCCTCCTTCTTCTTCTTCTTCCTGATCCTCCTTCTTCCTGATCCTCCTTCTTCCTCCTCCTCCTAGTTATTATTCTTGCTCCTGCTGCTCCTCCTCCTTCTTCTTCTTCCTGCTCCTCCGCCCCCGCCTCCGCCTCTCCTACTCCCCCTTCTACTAGTTATTATTCTTGCTCCTGCTGCTCCTCCTCCACCTTCTTCTTCTTCCTGCTCCTCCTCCTCTCCTCCTCCCCTTCTTCTTTTTCTTCTTCTTCTTTATCAGGTTACACGGTATTGGCTCACATTGATTATAAAGCTCGGTATGACAGAGTGGGCCAATATCTACATTGGAAAATTTGGAAATTTTACGGAAAAGAAACTGCAAAAATTGGGATGAACATCACCCAGGCCAAGTTATAGATATAGTATGTATAACAAATTTTGGGGACCTTAAAATCAATGCAAATCACCAAGGTATTGTGATCAGAGACCACAAAAACAAAATGTGTCTTCTTATTGAAATGGCATTCCCTGTAAACTGTAATGTATCTGAAGATCTTAAAAAAAACTGTGAAAATACAAGGACCTTGAAATCAAAATTTAAAAATAAATGTGGCACATGAGGACATCAACAATTCCAGTTGTAGTTGGAGCCCTCGGTTTGACTGGAAAATACTCAGTGGAAAATGTCATGATGTCATTTCTGACCTTAGGTCTCTGGCTGGGACCCAAAAACAATGAGTAAACACCAAAAATAAATGAAATAATAATAATAATAAAAATAATAATAATAATAATAATAATAATAATAATAATAATAATAATAAATGCTCTAATGCTACACCAGGTTTGACTGTCATGGCGTCTAACGTTTATCATTTGAATGAGTTAACAGATACATATTTTATCTCCTGGAATATCTTAATTAATTCGGTAAATAGATCGTGTAAGTCAAGGGTCAGAAGTTTTATATCCTCATCCTCAAATTCTTCATTTCCTCTCACCATCTCTTCCATTCACATCATTAGTGCATTTTGATCGTAATCCTCTATCTTGAGTTCTTCTCGAGCTTTGAATGGGTGCAATATAGTATATAAAAAAGCACTGCATATTTACTTGTCATTTAGGCATGGTTGCTAACTTGACATACTATTCATCTCTGTTATTAGTATCGGGGGTACATCATGGCCGGGTGCCGATAGTTTTTTGTTTTTTTTTAATGTTGAAGGATGAGGCAGACAAGGAAACTTGGGAGTCCCAGCCAGATACATCGGAACATCTGAGCAGACTGATTTACCCGATATGAATTCGGCCCTACCTGCAAGGTTATATGATTTCATAAAATGCTGTCAGCATCTCACGCAAATTTTGGCTGATTTTGGCTATAGTATATGGTATGCTATGTTGTTATAATGTGTAGACTGTGTTTAGTGTATTTATACCCCAGTGTCACTTTCTTGGCTCACTACTCTCTCCCTACCACTATATACTACTACTACTAATAATAATACTACTACTATTACTACTATTACTAATACTACTTATAACAGCAGAACTTGAAAAGCATACGGAATTTCTTATTATAGTAATTCAGAATAAATGCATCAGTACCATTTCTCTACTACAAGCCAAAACAGAGAAAAAAAAGTCACATACTGAGAACTATGCAAAATCTTCAGTTTCAGATAAAGGGAAAGGAAATCGAAAATTTAGAAGGTTTCGAGCTGAGAACTGAGAAACCTTTGGAACATTCATTCTTTCATTCTGTCATTCTCTCGTTCTTTCGTTCTTTCATTCTTTATTTTGTTCGTTCTTTCATTCTGTCATTCTTTCGTTCTTTCGTTTTTTCATTTTCATTCTCATTCTTTCATTCTTTTGTTCTTTCTTTTTCTTGTTGAAATCAAATAGCGTCTCTGATATGTGTTTGGCGTTTTTCAGCGCGATCAAATGGAATAGTCCATTGAATATGAGGTATTGGCAAGAGAGATTAGACACTTCCATCTTCCCTTCTTTCTTTATTCCTTTCATTTTCTCACTGATAAATAGTAGCTTATCTGACATCTCTTGTTGAGTTATAGGCAGGACGTAACAGTCGTGCTAACGAAGGAAAGGACGAGAAGAATCATAATAAGGTAATAACCTAAATTTACCTGCGAAACAAAGAACTATGAAAAATAAAGATGGTACTGTCAACGATTAAGAGAAAACTGGAGACAACTGAAATGTGGTTCTACAAAAGAAAACTTTGTATACCATGATTTGATTTGTTTTTTTTTTACGGATTATCAACCCTTCTCAGATTATAGATTGTTCTCGATACAAGCCCACTATTCAAACTATAGCTTGTGGAGTGGGAGAGAAAAATGGTTTCATGCCTTTTCCAAGGGTATTTGCGCGTAAGTGAATGTAACTAATTCGACTGGAATTCGAACTCGGCTCTCCGATTTCTCATCCCGAGAAGCTACACCACACGCACATCCGAGAAGACCATGGACGGAGCGCGTGAGCAACAAAGAAGGCTTAAAGAAAATGGAAAAAAATGGCACGTACTTAGAATCTGAGAAAGACAGCTTAAATTTCTTGGATTAGACGGATGCCAAAAAGCGATGAGGTGAAGCAGCAGGCCAACTCACCGACGAGTATGTTTGTTTCCGTATAGCGGAACAGGGGAGGTAAAAAGACAAACGTTAGTAAGAGCTACTAAGCACAGGAAGTAGTGGAGAGCCATCATCGACCTGGCTCTGAAAGAACATGGCACATTGAGAAAGAAGATTGTGTAGGAAGTCTCGAAGCGACAAGCATGTTGTTCTACATACAGGCACTGAGAATACTCTCGAGAGAACAACTGAATAACAACGAATTATAATAGAAAGTTTATTCATATTTAAAATCAGAAACAAAAAGGGAAAGAGATGTAAGGATGAACTGAAAATAATTCAGATGCCGTCAGTATTGAAATTCTCAAAATATCTAACGAGATATTAACAACATCAGATATGCGGATGATACTGTTGATAGTCGACTCAGAAAGAAAACCGGGATAAATATTAGACAATATAGTAAAAGAAAGCAAGAAGAAAGGACTAACCATTAACGGAAAGAAGATAAACTGCATGACTTTCAGTAGACAGACAGTCGAAGACGTCAGTTACGAATTGGTGACGTCAAAATCAACTAGTTTTTTTTTTTTTACTGTTGTTCATCCAATAGAAGGTCCGAGAGTAACTCAGAGTAGAGTGTTACTGAATTAAGTTATTGTATAATAATTCTAATTTTATAACCCACTCTCTATATATCTCATTCTAGTCATATCTATCTATCTATCTATCTATCTATCTATCTATCTATCTATCTATCTATCTATCTTATTCTGTTCATATCTATCATATTCTATTCATATCTATCTATCTATCTATCTATCTATCTATCTATCTATCTATCTATCTATGCGTTTTGTTAATATCTACCTATCTCTGTTCATATCTATCTATCTATCTATCTCATTCTGTTCATATCTATCTATCTATCTATCTATCTCATTCTGTTCATATCTATCTATCTATCTATCTATCTATCTATCTATCTCATTGTTCATATCTATCTATCTATCTATCTATCTATCTATCTATCTATCTATCTATCTATCTATCTATGTTTGTTATGGATGTACCGCCAGTGTTAGCAACATAGACTTTACTTACCATGGTCAATTATTTAATATATAAAGAAAACAGCCTCCATTTCTTTGCTGATTTGTAATTGAATTCACTAAATCCAGTGTTCATTTCTGTAGTTATAACTAGCTGCAGTACCCGTCTACGTTGGATAAACTACGTCCAGCAGCAAGGCCTCTGATCAGGAGGCTTTGAGAAGTGTGGAACCTCGTCCTAATTGCTGGTGTTCCCAGGTCCACCCTGACCCGGGGTCGTTGAACCTGTTAGGGTCCCCGCTATTGGTAATAGTTAACCCCGAAACTGACGTAAAAAGCATTATAAAAGTGTAAAAATAGGGTTTAATACCAGAAATACTTTGTAAAAAACTATTACCAGCAATACGTTTTTGAAAAAAACTATTACCAACAATACGTTTTTGAAAAATAATATTATTTTTTTGAGGAAAAAATTATTAACAGAAATAGATTTTTGACAAAACAAAAATATTACCAGAAAAAAAGTTGTCGGCATTAAATGACCCATTGAGGTGTTGATATGCCGTAAAACAAAACAAACCAAACCAAATCAAACCGATGCCTTTGTGAATTTTGTTTTTATTCATATACTCAACCATGACAGCTTACAGCTATATCACGTCGAAACACCGGTTTCTGTGCGATCACTGAAGTTAAGCAACGTCGAACCTGGTTAGTACCTAGATGGGTGACTGCTTTGGTATACTCGGTGCTGTAAGCTTGTACAGGAGGGTAGTGTAAAGCATAACGGTTCGAATTGAAAATCAGAGAGCCAAGTTCTAATTCCAGTCGGGTTCGTTTTATAATCTTACACGCAAGTACATCCTTGTGTATATTAACTGAAACAAAACGAATAACCTCGTGTTTCTCCAATGCAACATGACCCACTGTACATGTTACTACTTCGTATGTCCATTCAACGTAGACTTTCCCTGTAGATTGACCACAGCTTCTCGACTGGTTTATAGAAACTCTGATTTGCTCACAGGTAAGGCTTATCAGTGTCTTCGTGCAGCGTTAAAATTTTCGTACGCTTCCTTGGAGTAACGTCCATCGCAGACAACGGCCGTAGGACAACTAATCGACAGTCGAGACAATAGTGTCTGGGCGTGATAAAAATCTAATGCAATCACGGATGACGCAATATTTTTCAAGGCCAAACAAATTTCATCATACATCTCGAAAATAAATTCATATTATTGCGCACCACTGCCAATGACTTAATTTGAGGAAAAAATAGAAATCGATTGCACCCTGTAATTCCAGTGGGTCTAAAACTGACTGAATGATGAAAGAAAGGAAAGTAAAACGGTTGTTTCAATTAATTTGCACAAGGGTGTACACTTTGGAAATGTATGAATCCAAATCTTATCTTCCTGGCTATTGGTTAATTAGTAACAACTGTATCAGTAAATCATTATTAGCGCAAAAATTCCTTTAGTATCTAAGAATATTTTCTGGTTTTAAATCACCTACAAAGAATTGATAAGACGTAAAAAAGCACGAGTAAGCGAATAAATGTGACATGCTTCCAAGATTCGGTTGTTGGAAATTATATCGAAGTTGTTAGATTTTCTTTACGTTTAACATAAAAAAAATATAAACTCATTGATTTTATCTTTTAGTTTAGTTCCAAAATTATAAATATACTTCGTATTAAAAGAGCATCAGGAGATGACATTTATATAGACATAATACTATTTTAAGACATTATTATCAGGCCAGTAAATGTTGATAATACTGTTTATTATAAAACAGAGCATTTACTTAAATATTTGTATCTATAAAAAGAATGTATAAACATAAAAATTTCTTACAATAATTATCGGACTTTGTCCATTTCATAATGTGTGACGTCATTTGTTTACATTTGGATACACATCGAGCAGATATGAATGTACGTGAGAAAATCATGGAAAATTGTAGTTTAAAAACAGTAAAATCGACCTTGCTAACCGAACGCTCCTCTGTGGCGAAATCGGTAAAAGCACGTCAGGCTCTATGACGGTCCCGTATAGGATACATGTTCGATTCCTGTCAGAGGTCGCATATTTTCTACAACATTTTCTCGGACATTCAGGCCAGTAAATGTTGTTAATAATGTTTGTTATAAACAGAACATTTACTTAAATATTTGTATCTATAAAAAAAGAATGTATAAACATAAAAAATGTCTGACAATAATTCTCAAACTTTGTCCATTACGTAATGTGTGACATAATAATGTAGACATTAGAGGACGCGAGATGAGATTTAAATGTGTATCGTAACTCAATATTTACCAACTTTGAATGAGCACTTTGAAATACCAGGTGCTGAAAGATAGTTTGTGCAGATGGTGTAATGTATAATGGCTCGGAATTGTTAATCGGAGAGCCGAGTTCAAACTCCAGCTGGGTACGTTATATTTACTTTCGAACAAGTACTCTTCGGAAAGGTATCAGTCCATCTCTCCCCACAGATATGGGTGATTTAATAATACTTATATCACTAAATAATAATGATTTTTTTTAAATATGGCTTTAAATAACTTGCAAAGTGTTACTAAGCAGTAGAAAACGAATCATTCACTCACTCACACAATCAATCAAACATAATGTGCTCAGTGCATGTTAGATTTTCCAAGCTGTCTTTCCTCATCCTCAAAATGTCTTCTTCTTCTTCGTTGTAGTTCTTATTCCCCATAAAACTTCCTCATTTGTGACATGCTCTGTTCAGGTTATTTTCAATATTTGACGGTAAAATTACATGATTGTCCTTTCAAGTCTTTCATTATGTTATAAGCAGATTTTACAGGCATCCATCATAGACATGCGGAAGCGAACACGCACTTTATTTATTTCCCGAGTTTTTGAACATTTTATGAGGTTTGCAGATGATGTACAAGAGTTGACTGATTTTAAAAGCAATAAATAAATGAGCCGGATTCATAGACACTTCAAGGATTTCCCTAGCATTGAGCAAAAATGTCAAACGATGATTTTAAGTATTATATATATAATTAATTCAAGTAAAAGTTTTGCCACTTAGCTGATTGATTTAACCTTCAGCATCACGACTCCAGAGATTCGTAGACGGACACTCCAGGAATCACTCCGCCAACTCGTCAGTGGGTACCAGCAATTGACAGCTTATATTACTCGATTTTTGTTTTTTATATGTACTTTTCATAGGTGCAAGTTTTTTTTTTTATAGTGCATGTGTGTCTGCGTCCGCGCACATTTGCTCATGTGCCGGTTGCGTTTATAAATCGTGACGAGCAAAACAAAAGAGAAACTTAAGGAAAAAAATCGACTAAATGGTTTGATTAATTTATTATTACCGTAAGTGTGTAGTTTCTGTGCTTTCTCCGAACGTGGATCATCTGTCTTGCCAGTATATGACAGACGCTTTGTCTTTCCCCTCTATGTTGGGGAGCTTATATCATCCTGTTCTGCGTGTGCATATCATAAGCACAGCTGGGCAGACCACTAATGTGTGATGTGTAAAACTGCACCTGGTTGCTATGCAAATGCAGTTCATGTCATCCTTCTGATGCACATGTAAAATCTGCTTTGGAATCTCTTTGAGTAAACCCTGAGCATATTCGGGTCATCTGAGATAAAGTTCTTTTGGAAGAAAGGTCCCTTAGTTAGGTTAAATTCGAAACAGAACATTTATTTCACGGAGAAAAGCTCATAATACAGTACCTAAAAATTATGAGTCACATGGGACCCCTTAAGATGAACATTTTTATAGGTTTAGATATTTTTTTTATGTTAAATAATCAAACACAAGTCGTATAAAACGGCATATTTCAATTTGGCGGTTTCGTTCCCGGCCTTCTTCAGGTGATATACTTTCAAGCCGAAGCCTTTATTTACTCCACGGGGGTAGATTGTCCTAGTTCCACATCTCATGCCTCAGTTTTCAGTTATTTCTTTTTAATAACAGCCTTTTTTGGTGGCCAGGTATTGAACTCACACAGCGTTCTGGGCATGACGATGAACTACATCCAACAGCAAGGCGTCTGATCAGGAGGTTTTGAGGAGCGTGGAACCACCTCTTAATAGCTGGTGTTCCCAGGTCCACCCTGACCCTGGGTGGTAGCACCTGTTAGGGTCCCAACTATGGGTAAATATTTAACTCCTAAGCTATTGTCAAAACGTGTAAAAATAGAATTTAATATCAGAAATACATTTTTGCAAAAAAATTATTACCAGTAATATATTTTTTGAAAAAAATATTAGCAACAATAAAAGTATTGTCAGCATTAAATAACCCATTGAGGTGTTGATATGCCATAAAAGAAACCAAACCAAAGCAAACGAACTTATATATAGATTACTTCAACCAACTATTTTATCTACTGAAACATGTGTCCTTGGGGAGCGAATTAATTTTTGGGTCTTATAAACCTAATGTTTCAGAAGATTTTTTTTTTTAACAGAGCTCATATTACAATTTTTGTCATTGTTGTTATTCATGTTTATGCTTGGCCGGCTTAGGAGGTTTTTGTAGCCTAGCATATGCGCTGATTCCTTAAGTTTTCGTATTTTCCAGTCTATTGTTTCAATAATGCTGTGTAAATGTTATGGCAATTTACCCACACACGCATGGAGTTTCCCAGCTATAAATAGGAGCAGGTACTGCCTTTTGGAGAGGTAATTTTCCAGCAGTCAGTTCTGACAATCAGACCGAACATTCTTGCTGTAACACTCTCGTTTGTATATGTTTGTATTACTGTTTTCTGGTAATATATTTGTTTAACTCGATTCCTCTCTTATGTCTTTATTTATGGCACTAACAAGGCCACAACAGTAAAAATGATATAAATGGACACATTGCAGCAAAAAATGCATAATTAACCAAAAGCATTGAATAAGACGAAAAACACTGGAAAAAAAAGAAAAAAATGAAAACAAAACAAAACAAAAAACATCTGGTATGGGATAATGAAAAATGGATGATAGTGAGATGTAAACCAAATAAAACTGCATTCTCGTACAAGAGAGAAAACAGTGAGTACCCCCCCAAATATCTACGCACTCTTACATTTTAATTACCGTAATATGCACTTCCTTCACACAAATTGAAAGTAAATGTTGCTATGAAGATGAGATAAAAAAGCCTTTAACGATTCAAAACATTCAAAATCTTCATAAAGTCAGTATATATTTTAAACATGTCCGTCTTCTTCATGTTCTATGTCACCACAAGACATAGGCGTTCGTGGCTCTCCACAATTTCCTGTTCGTTGTAGCTCTTAATAAATCTTTTTTGTTATCTCTCTTAAACTTTATTCCACTATCCATTTACTCAAGCTCACAAACTAGGTTATGCTTTGTTTCCGCTGTCCCTTTTGCCTTCAATATGCCCTGTGAGTATCAGATTTTCCAAGCATCCTTTCTTCATGGTTTACCACAGGAATTGCAACTGTCTCTTTCTGATGTTAATTATAAGTCTACATTTTTTTCCATTTTCTCTAAAATTTCGTCGTAGCTCACATAATCGGTCCATGTTATCCTCAGTATCCTTCTGTAGAGCCACATTTCTGTTGCTTCAAGTCTCTTCTCCATCTTCAGTGACATCTAGGAGAATAGATATCACGTAACAGTTCAGTGCACTTTTCTTTGTTCCTAACGAATTTTTATACTCAACTATCAGATGCACGGATAAACACACGTTTATAAATATAATAAGAGTAAATGTGCTCAAAAAGCATGGGTCAGAACATTAT